TCCATTTCATTGCGATAAGGCCTCGTGATTTCCAGCCGCCGCATCTTCCACCCCCTACTTCAGCTGGACCCGGCCAGCTCCAGAGATGCCGCACAGGGCACCACAAATGGCGGGAGCGTGTGCAGTTACAAGAACACGTGAGATCACTTCTCTGAGTAGTTCTGTGCGCCGCTGTCCGTCTACGGCGAAGCTTCCAATCAACACACCCAGCTGTCTGGTAGACCGAACGCCTTGTGCCGTTCAACAAGGACACGCGCTGAAATGACTGATATAGCGACCAACTTCACGTAACATGTGCCATACCCTCAGGTACTGTTGGGTCTACCCCGGGTCGGATATTAGACCCCAAACCCTGGGTCTAATATCCAAACCCTAGGGTCATGCAAAGGGTCATTTTAAACCTTCACGCTTTGTTGGCCTATGATCAAGTCTCTGTTGGGGCCGTTGTGGCTCGTCATTGCTTCAGTACGTTTTAGTTCGCGCTTTTGCGTGCTATTGTAGTCCCTGCAGTTATCGTCTCTGGTTCTGCTTCTGTCCGTTTCGGTTCCGCTGTGGCCTCCGCTCAGCTCTGGAAAGTCTCGGGATCGTTGTTTTTTTCGGTTCCAAACCCGTTTCGGATCGGATACACCCCGGTTCCTTGTGGCGGTTGGGCTGTGGTTGTGTGGCGCTGGTTTCGGTTCGGATCTTGCTGCGGTCCAATTGAGTTGCACTGTAGTGCGGGGGCCCACTTCCGAGTTCATCCGTCGCCGCCGCCCCTGCATAATGTCGCCTGCCAAATGTCCCACTTCGCCTTTAGGAACCTGGGAGGAACCTGGAAAGCCTAATTACCTAATTTTCGTTTTGCACACGGATTCTTTTTTCTTATCGATGCGACTCGGGCTGAGTTCGGTTTGGGTTGAGGTGGAACTGCTTTGCTTCCCAGGTCTCGTCTTGGGTTGTCGGCTTGGGGTCGGTGTCTCTCCCCTGTCGGTTCCGGCAGTTCCGTTCGTTTGGGTTCTGTTCCGGCCTGAATCTTTTTTTCGGTTTCACCTAGGTTTCCCTCAGCTCGCATTTTTTAACGAAGCCCTGGCAACCCTCTATGGAGGTAGAAGCACGAATCCAAGAGTGCTCCAGGCTGAGTTCCGAAGTTCCGGGTTTGCGGCTTCTGGGTTCAGGCGTTTAAAGTTTCTGGGTTTCTGCTTTTCTGGGTTTGGGGATGTTTCTGGATTTAAGTGTTTAGCGTTTCTGGGTTTCGGCCGTATGCTGTCCAGGGGAACAAACCAGGGCACACGGGTACCACGAGCCCTCGCTTACCCATCCGTAAGAAAACTGGCCACCGCAGCACAGCACCGGCTTCCGGTTGTATCCGTCTCGAGGTTCCTATCTTACTCAGACGTCTATATTGGTTTGGGATTTATAGGGTCCTGAGTTTCTGCGTTTTGGGATGTTTCTGGGTTGTTAAAGGCTTCTCGGTTTTTGCGTTTCTGAATGCAGTTTTGGTCAAGCGATTTTCACGAGCAGGCACCGCGAGACACAAATCTCACATCCATTTCGGGGCTCGTGGACCTGTAATGATTTTTCGCGACCCGCCAAACCGAGAATAGTGCGAAGCGGCGGCCAAAAGCTTAACACCAAGTTTGGCCCAGCGACTGGAACGAGCAGGCACCGTGGAACACAAATCTCACATCCATTTCGGTGCTCGTGGACCTGTAATTCAATTTCGCGACCCGCCAAACCGAGAATAGTGCAAAGCGGTGGCCAGAAGTTTAAAACCAGTTTCTGTCCGACGATTCTCACGTGGGTCTGGCATCCGCGGGGCTGGGAGGGTCTAATACCCTGAACCCCGGATTTCAGACCCTGCACTCTCGGGCCCCCGGGGCCAGGATTCCAGACCCTCCAATACCTGACCCTATCATGTGCCCATAGTTGAAATCGCTGATGTAGGCTGAAATGGACAATGTAGCATTTCTAGGAACCATTTCAGCCCTCAGCTGGAATCACTGCGACCCGATGTAGCCCCGTGCAAAAAAGCGGCCGTGCCCGGAGTCTTCGCCCGGGTGGCGCGCATCGGGTGATATCGGGTGACTCCGGAGGCATCGTATCCGGCCTGGCGCAAGTGCGTCTGCGCGGCGACATCGGTGGCAGTGAAGGGGAGGGCGGCGTACCCTCGTGGGGCTTGCAGGAGTCGGGTCCCCGGGCGTTGATATGCGTTGACGACAGGCAGCGTGTCCCTCCAGGACGCCCGCTGCGCGGCACTCTGCAGTCGCAGAGCAGAGTTGGTGGCACACACGGTTGTAAGTGGGAGGGGGGCGTCTCCCCTTGTTCGAGCAGCGTAGCAGGCAATGGATGCGCAGCAGGAGTTTACGTGCAGAGCTGCAGAAAGGAGCCGTGCGGCTTGCAGATCATCGAAGCGCTTTTCTGTTCGTCGTGGTGGTGGTGGTTGTAGCGGTGGTAGTGCCAATGGGTGGTGGTACTGGTCGGAGTAGTGGTCATCGTCGCAGCAGCAGCAGCAGTAGCAGCAGCAGTAGCAGCAGTAGCAGCAGCAGTAGCAGCAGCAGCAGTAGCCGTAGCCATAGCAGGAGCAGTAGCACTAGCAGGAGCGGCAGTGGCAGTGGCAGTGGTAGCGGCAGTGGCAGAGGTAGTGGTAGTGGAGTGGTGGTTGGGGTAGGGGTTGGGGTTTTATTGCGGGCTGCAGCTGCAACACGACCCGGCGGCAGCTCACAGTCACAGATGCTCACAGTGCTCAGACGCATCGGAGCCAGCAGGCGATAGGCTAATTTTACCCCACATCCGTCGTATGGATTCTTGAATCCCGGCGAGCTGCGTATCCCAGCCCTGTCAGCTGTTCGCCAGGCGTTCTGGCCTGTTGGCGGTCCATGTGCGAAGCAGCATCTTCACCTTCATGGTAAGTGCTGGCAACTGTGACAGGGGCATCCTTCCGGCTGTCCGAGGTCGTGAGCAAAGTGTTGATGACTTGTTGATGATATGAGCTTCTGCGAAGTTGTCGGAAATTAAACGAAATCTACGTTTTTCTGTTAGACTTTCTCACCACCGTGTGCTTGCGAGAACTCGGAAATTCACCGGTTCTTGGTAGAGGTGGGCGCGAACCCAAGATCAGGCCCTCACAGAGCGTGCCAGTCGGAAGGAAAAGCGTGTAGCAGGGTCTTAATATTCTTAATGAGTGGTTGGAGGGGCAAACGATTCGGATCCGTTTCCGGCCCTGCATCTGCCAAGGCAGCCGCGGCTACGCGCGTCGGGCGGCAGGCAATCGTCCGTGACGACTTCTGCATCGCGGGCCTGTGCCAGCAGCTCGCCCGCCGGTGGCGGACCTCCGTCGCACTGCTCCGCGCTCGCTGCATCAGTCCATTCCGCTACATGCTATTTTAGCGACGTCGGCGTCCTCCGTCCAAGACTTCATTCAGCCCAAGGGCGGAGGGTAAAACGGCTCGCACGGATCAAGCGAGGAAGTTGTTGAAGAGAGGCTGGTCGCCGTCGACGTGGCGGTGCCGCTTGCACCTACAACAAATGCGAGGACGACATTTCGGCACTTTTGCGAACGCAGCACCTCAGCATAGCTGCATTCCTTCGCCCTGCATGCGAGGCGCAGTGCCGCCCCACGGCACTGCCGCTTGTGCTTGCAGGCAGCTCCCCTTGCATCGATAGGGCAGATTAGGGCAGGATGGGGGAAGTGTCGACAGCGAGCTGTGCCACGCCCCAGAGCGGGAGCTGTTGGCGATGACGTCGATGTGGGGGCCATCGATGCGCTCGGGGTGGATGTTGAGAAAGCGAACATGCTGGCAACGGCGGTCGCGGGAACGGAAGAGGCCAGAGCGGCGGCAGATGCAGGCAGCATCTGCAAATCGCACAGCAGCGTCGAGCGGCTCGGGCAGGCGAAGCGAAGCGAAAAGGCCCAGCAAAAGCAGGTGAGTCCAAGCTCGTGGCAGGTTGCGAACCCCCCTTGGCACATGGCCCAGATCAGTTGACAGTTCGCGAGGCGGGTCACTGCCATCCACGAGTGGTGTTGACAGTCTCGTCGGGTCTGCAAGGAGAACGGGGGGCTGCAAGGAACGGAGGAGGTTGGAATCCGTCGAGACAGCTCAAACAAAGGCGTGAGGGGGGAGATGCTGTGCCATCATGCGTCATCCAGGAATCAGGCTCATGGAAACGGAGTGCTCCAAGCAAGTCAGCCCATGTAAGCAGGCTGCTGGTGCGTGCTGTGTCGAGGACCTCCTTCGCCGCCTGGTTCTGCACAGCACATGGATGCAGCCACCCGCCCCCACCAATTTGCTTTGTCCACGCGTGCAAGTACTGAGGCTCTCGTGCACTGCCTCCAGCCTCCAATACCAAACAGACACAGACTCCGACTGCACTGCCCCCTCTGTCGATGGCATTGGCGCATGTGAGTCGCCAGGCCATGCTTTCCAAGCTGCGGCAAATGCCTGGCGTCGCCATGCTTCCCTTCGTTTGGGCTTGGTTTTCGCGAGTCCAGGGACCTTGCTGGATATGCCGGAAACCACTGCATGGCTTTCCAGCTTGGTGTGCTGCTCGTCCGTGCTAGCTGCTAGGAAAATCCTGCGCGAGCACTATCGCAGTGTCGCGAGCAGGAATTCCAGTGTTCTGAATCTTGCTTGGCATCCAGGAAGGCATGCGGTGCTCGCAGTTTCGTCACATGTGCCGCAGTTGTGGACCCTAGCGCTGCGCGGCGCCCAGTGTCCAAACGGCCCACCAACCACTTTCCAACTCTGCTGCACCACCACGCCTTGTCGGTGCAGAAAGCCTCCGATGGATAATGACCCGCTCGTCGAGCAGACTGCTAATTATGCCTGCATTGTTCGTCACATCACCATGTCCCCTACTTCGAATTTGCAGAGTCCCGATGGGACTACGTTGCCGCTAAGGACATTTTCGTATCAAGCCGGGCTCAGCTGGATGATGACAAGTGAACACGACAGGAGCTGCCAGCCAGTTTCGCAGATCCAATGGCGCACGTCAACGGCAAGCATCACAATTAAGTGCCCGTCCTGCTGGCTCGCCTGGGCGGGTCTATGCATCACGTCCAAGTCAGGACGTGTCTAAGCATGGCACCGAAAAGTCAGGACTTCAAGTCTAGAGCTGCCTGTATAGTTGAGAGCGGGGCCATGTGAAGTGGAGGTGCTTTGGTGCGATAATAAATACTAGTTAATGTCTTGGCGGATCGGGATCGTTACCTGCCTCCCATGCTCGCCCGCCGTCCTCTCTGCGAATGAATTCTTCAGCAGCAAGCACCCGGACGGTTTCAGTTGTTGGGATGGGATTCCCATCTAGGGACTTCGAATTTCTCCTGTAGGAGCTTGCTGTAGAATCCTTTGGGTGAGGTTTCCTCTCGTGCAGGGTATACCTAGCAGTGAGGTTGTAGACATCGAAGTATTGTGAGGGCCATGAGATAAGCCGGACTGGCATCGTTGAGAAAAAAGTCTGACCCGGGAGTTGGACACCTGAGAGATATTTCATACACACATCTTCGCAGAAAATGAGTTGGAATGAGTCACGAGTCATTCGGTTTGACAGCTAGCAGGTGGATAACTTCCGTGTGATTGCCATGCACCGTGGGCATGGGAGAGTTGGCACTTACCGGTGTGGTTGGGGGTTCTCCGTGGGTGGATTGTGACTTGAAGTGTCTGACCTCGACCCATGCGTCGACTGTCTTGGCTGCGTTTGCGTGGGTGGTGTCGGAACGTTCAGCAATTGAAAGACTTGGCAACTGGCTCTGGGCTTGTCTCCGCATGAACGCCAAGCAGACGTCTGAGACCTTCACGCTTTCTCCACGGCTCCTCAGCTGATCAGGTCTGCCCATTCTCCAACCTGACACCGAGGTCAAGCACAAGCACGGCCAGCTGAAGAGGAAACCGCATAAGAGCCCTGCTCTGAGGGCGCTTTTGCAAGGTTCGGTCAAACGTAGTGCAGTCCTGTTGCAACACTGGAGCAACATCAACTTTTCAGCATGGCATGCATGATCATGCATGGCACAGCGAGTTCCACCTCGCCAACTTCTTCTGGGTCACGCTGGTCCTCTGGGCTTTAGACGTGAACTAAGTAGGAGGAGTTCTTGAAGATAGGGGCCCAGCAACATCTTCAGCTCTCAGCTGCCTGCAGACAACCCGATCTGATTTGACCCTGGCAGCAAAACCGGCTCGCCTCTCGGAACTCCGCCTGAAAGCGAGCAAAGCGACTCCGCTTTGCATCGAGGACTCCCCACCGGCCTAGCCAAGGTCTCTTGCTCCAACCTGGGCTCATCTTGGATACTCTTGGATACCAGGCTGCCGAGCCGAGTACACAGTGACATGCACTGAGACGCTGGTTGTAAAGCGATGAAAGCTTCTGCCACTAACTCCATGGTAGTAGAACGCTGCAGTACTCATCAAACACCTGTGTCAGCGAGATTGAGATGACGAATGTTTCCAGGTCCTCATCTTAGCCTGGTTGCCATACAATCTGGAAAAAGGCAGGAACGTGGATCGAGCGTCCTCTATCCATACTGGATTGGTCACAAGCATGGCCCTCATCGTTGGACAGTCAACCATGCTTGCGAGACGGTCCCTCTGCTTTCTCCACGAAACGGAGCGGAGTTCAAAGTACTTTCACTGGCACCAAAGACCTTTAGCTCAGAATCAAGGTGTACACAGACAGAAGGCCCACCGACACATCGTTGTCAATCATGGTGCGACAATGCAACTTGAAAGACCTGCCACCTGGCCATCTCCTCCCAAGTCCCCACATGTAGCACGTGCCAACCTCACACAACACCCGCAGCGATCTCGAGCTACCTGTCAAAAAACAGAAGCCCAAATCGGGAGAATTGCTCTAGGCCATGTCCACCGAACCTCCATACTATTTCTACTGACTTCTATCCAATTCTCACACCGCGACCAAACCTAAATGAGGCTCAAGAGTGCAATCACTGCTAATACTCATCCAGGCCACCTCAATCCGCCTGACCCCAAGGCTCACATGCAGTGCTACCTAGTCCACGACGACATTGTCCGAGGTCTTGCATCGTCAAAATCAGATTCTGAGTGCGACTCTTCCACCATGGTGTCTGGGCATGTGCCTCTCCGAGAAACCACAAATCCAGCTGAGCTCGCAGTGCCGAGCCATTCTACCACATCAGGCAGTCCTGCGCTGTGGGATCGATGTTCTCCGAGGCGTCTCCAACCCCCCAGCCTTGGTACCAGCAAAACTGGTGCCGTACTGCTTCGAAGGATTCTTCAATACTGTAAGCATCTGACGTGGCGGCCGATGTTGCTCGGGCAGCTTTGGAATGGGCGGACTGGCAGGGATACGGCCAACCACCCGCAACACTTTCCACTCGTGAAACATGCCGGCTCCAGCAGCTTGGACTTGCCTTGCCAGTTGAATCATCGAGTTTACTTCCCTGCTTCAAATGTGCTCAGGGAGACACCCATGCGCGGTTTAGGCACGGGTGGAGGGCACCCAAGCGGCGTCGATCGCCTGGACGGCTGACAGAAGCTACATTACAAGCTGCAGATTGAGGCCTAAACGCCATACTTAGAATCCTCATTTGGGCTCAGGGGCGAAGGGAAGGCGTTATGATGGTCGGCATACGGTACCTGTCGGGGAGTTTCGTGGGCTTATGCTTGCACATGGGCAAACCGAACTTTAGAGGACTACTTTCCGGCTGCGCTTGACGCGCTAGTTGAGAACGCGAGATAGCCAAACTCCCATCATCCCGTGTTACATTCCTGTGTGCAAGTCGCACGGCATGGAGCCTCGATCTTAACTCGTGCAGTACCGCAGTCGCCTCTTCTGGCCTTGCAGCATTGTGCCGCTAGGAGCAGTCTGCACGCACCGTATTAAGTACTGCTATCTCTGGTAGCTCGCTAGGCAAAGACGTTGAGGCTTCCCACAAGCTGAACTCTTGTTTGAGCTCGGCTTCCACTTCTCTCCGCCGCCTGCATGCAATGATTGCATCTCGAAATAGAGACCTGAGATCTTCTGAACCCGAGGTCCCAGCTGATAGAGTTTCGAATGTCTCCCCAGCAAGGCATCGCCAAGATCCTCTCCGACTCATTTTCGCACTTTGCTTGAGCTACATGTTCGAGACTCCTCCGGCGGGTCTCTGGAGGGTTCTCTGCGTACCTCGATGGCTTGGAGAATTTATCGGGAAGCATGTAAGAACTCGCTGCCTGTCGATGCTCTCTGGGTAAAAGTTCTGACCTGTGACTCGGAGCGTCCAGCTTGCAGCCCATGACCGAAGGCAACGTGTGAATGTGCCAGGCCCCTGTAAGCTAGCAGCAGGTGAGGGTGCGGTGGTGGAGGTGCCACAGCTGTCAAAACAACACCTCACGACCACCAACAGCTGCCCTCCCTCCCAGTGTTCTCAACTGAAACCGAGAGTGTTGCGCACAGAGTGCGCATCCGACCTTGAGATTTCCAAAGAACATGTAAAACGCGAGGAGAATACGTATCTTTGCGGTGTGATGTGGCCAACATCTGGGCTTCTTGCTCCATCCAATCGAAGCTATGCTATGTGCCAGGAGCCTGCACCAGCAGACACAAACAACAAACAAGCGCAAATGGATTTCAATGCAGATTCTTTTCAGCACGCTGCAACTCGTGCCATATCGGCCCTTTTGCTTCCCTCCCAGTCGTAGACAGTAGACACGTGCGATGCAGGGTCTCACAAGTTGATGGCTTCGAGACGCTTGTGGCACACCAGTTAGCACCGGCCAGCTGTGCCTATCCAGGCTTCTCCAGGCTGGCTCAGGGACGTGTGGCACCAGCATCGCAGCACACCTTCAAGCTCACAAGCTAGAGTGTCTGTACACGCCGGTGAGTGTCTCTTCAGAACAGCTCGCCTGCGGGTTCAAGGTGTGCTTTCGAGCAGTCGCCATCCTAACTAAGCTAAAGGACCTTGCTTTCGCAAGGGGGCATGACATGCTTGCTTCTGTGCGCGCTCTGTTCCGGCCAGCTGCATTGATTGCACATGTAGATTCCAGCATATGATGTATTACTTGTTTTCCCAGGCTGACTCAATCCCAACCCCAGAAGACTTCACGGTCAACGTCTGTCGGCATGTTTGACATGTTGTGTTGGCGGACGAGCCTGCCATGTCGACACAGCAGGGCAAGCTTCGAAACCACAAATCAACATCGCGAAGAACCGTCGGATCGAAGTTTCTACTCCACAGCGGGGACCTTCGCGTCTTTGCCTGGCTTCTGCACGCTTCACTGGGGCGAGGTCGCCGGGTGCCCTTGTCTACATCTTACAGGAATAGGAACACAGGCTTGCCGTCACCCTGATGGCACCGGCTTCTTACGTCGGGCTTCATCCTCGAGCATCCCGAATCTGCTTGTTTTTTGATGTTTTTTGTCTGCGAAACTTTCCTTATGTTGCGGCCCAGCTCATCACACCCGCAGTGCAAACAAACATTCGTTGAGTGCTGTCACAATTTGGGATCTCATTGTCGGCTCTCAAACCGCAAGTGCAAAACAAACGGGCCTCAACCAAGATGCTTGTCAGTGCTCCCTAGGTGCAATGTGTTGGTCTGGCTCAAGGCTCTTCTGCACCCATCTACTTCAGACTTCAACCGTCCCATGCCGAAGCCTTGCCAACTCACATGTGCTGTCCGGGCAACTTTCTGGCGCCGCATCGAACAGGCGTCCAAGCTGCTTGCACATAGTCTCTCTTTGTACAGCAGTATGCTGAGTGTCAAAGTGCAGCATCCTCCTAACGTGATCCCTTCCGGGTAGCGTCAGCCCAGCTCGGGAACCCAAGCCCTCTTTTCAACTCTCAGCATGTAGACGTGAGACGGAGACTGCAAGTGTTTCGCACGGAGCTCAGTTTGGAATCATCAAAAAAGAACGTGAATTTGCGGCTTGTGCTCTGAGAAACACCAACCGGTGTAGACGCGGGCACCGCTGCCTATTTACTATTACGTGTGCTCCTGTTCACACCTTCGGCAAAACAGGGAAAGCTGTGCACCAAAACTCCTGAAATAAGCTATGATGGCGACAAACAAAGCCTGTACTTTGGTTGTTTCAAGGAAATTGCATGCCACCGGCCGCCACATACGCATCCATGTTATCCTGATGTGCAGCCACGTCATGCTTCAAGCTGCTATGCTTGCGCAGCAGAACTGTATGGTCCTGTGGAACCAGAGCACCCACAGGAAGGACATCAAAATGAGGGCTGTGGGACTCCAAGTGGGCCTGTCAAACGCATGGCTAACACTCCACCGTTGACGCTTCGATCCCACCTGCCACTCAAGTTCAGAGAAGAGCTCCTGGGGTTTCCGTAGTGTCTTCGTGAACTCCCCGTGCCTGGCGACATGCTTTGAAACTGACCATTATAACATATGTATAGATAGATAGATAGTGTTGTAAGGATGTAGATGATGTAGGTACGTACAAGCTGCAGGCTGAATGGTATACGAGCTGGGGCTTTCAGGCACGGGCTTCTGAGGGAATCCAGGCATTGTGACCTTACAAGCTCAGGCAAAGGAAACCCAAGTCCTTTGCAATTCATAACGATCACCTGCAGACATGCACTCCAACCTACGTGTAGTGTACACTACCAGTCACTGATTTAATATGTACCTAAAAAGTATAATAATCCATTTTCATCAAAATTAGATTCATGAATAAAATTCATTGATGATGGTCCAATAGTAATATAACCATAAATTTCAAAACCAGAACATGCTAATATATTATTATCACTTGAATTATTACCAATTTGTACTACCATAACCTTAAGAACACCATTCGCGGTTTCAACCGCGTGTCGCTTCGAAGAATCAAACCAGCATGCTTCAGCAGACCCTCCAATCCACTTCCCTGAAACTTCAGCCCTATCGATCATCCTAGAAGGCTCGCATTTGTATGTGGATTTGTGTATATATATATATATACATACATACATACATACATATTGTATATGCATTTCGTGTATACAGTGGTATATGTATATGCATCTGTATCTGTGTATGCGTATGTGTATGCACATGTACACTATACACATGTACATACATTCATCTATTTGTTTGTCTAAATATCTATCTATTTTTATTGTATCTGTCTATCTATCAGCTTGCCTCTTTGATGGTTTTTGATTTAAAGCATTTACATGCTTCCTTGTCTAGCCATTAACTCATGTGCTTGCTTGCTTGCTTGCCTCCTTGCCTCCTTGCCTCCTTGCCTCCTCCTTCCTTCCTTCCTCCCCGCGTGGCATCATGCTTCCAGGCCAGCTAATCAATGTCACCGAGACACTCGACGTGGAGATGTGAATTTGGTGACTACGCTGGACGGCGACACTTGGAAACGGGAGCAGGTGGAGCAGGTGGAGGATGACGGCACGACGTGGCAGGCTGCACGATGGGTTCTGGCCAAGGCTCCAAACTCACTGTGGCCTGTCTATGTGGAGTGGAGCCTGCACATGGGCTTCGGCAGAGTGTAATGGAAGCGCCTTCGCTTCGTTCGTGCTGGCTTTCGTCGGTTCAGTTGTGGTCTGCTCCATGGCGGCTTGATGAGATGTCTCACCATGCCGGGAGGTTCGTGTTCTGGCTCGGGCAACCAATGGTGTCTTTGATGGCACCAGCCGCTTACCTTCATTGATGCTGGCACAAGCATCTGTCGGGAGGCTTGGCTGCCCTGATTTGTGCGCTGAAGGCACCTGAGCTTGAATGTTGGCTGGACTTTGCCTTCAGCTGAGCATGTTGGAGTTGATCTTGCATCATCTTCGAGTCGCTACCGTATCTTGTCCAATCTGCATCTCGCAGGCATCTCGTTTCTGGGTCCTGGCCGGGAGATGCCGGGAGGAGCAGGGTGGCACGAGCGCAGCGATCTTACCATCGCTCTTCGGTTCCTCGATCCTGAACGCTGTCTGAGCCCGCTCTGCATCACCTTCCCTACGGCTGTGTGAACATTAGAGGGCAGGGCAGGCAACCATAGATTGGCACAACTTCATACGCATGATATTGAGCAGTAGTCGCTCGTGTTGCCACTCATTCGCAGCTCAACTTGAAGCAAAATGCCTTGTTTGAACGTTGGTTGCAACGCACCTGTGTCAGATCTCATTAACATGTTTAAGTATCGGCAGGCTTTTGTGGCTGTGACATGCTGCGACCCTGTGCCAGTGAGCTCCTGCTGGTCTTTGCTGCAAGTGAGGCCGTGAAGCCCGGAACCAACACTTGAGTCGCCATTCGACGGTGTGTCGATTTGTCGTCAGACTCCAGCCGTCTATGTCGTCTACGTGAAGGCCCCTGCCTAACCGCGGCGTCACGGTCCTAAACCTGCCCTCTCAAACGGTTTCTTCGAGCTCTGCCTGCGCATTTCCCTCATCTCAGCTGGAAGGCCGTAATATGCAACTCTTTGTGGTTCTTGTGGCTTGCTGAAACCACATACTCACATACCGGTAGCCGAGGGTCACCCAGCTAGATAATTGCTAACCTGGCCATAGAAACCCAAGCACGGCGGGGGCACGCGTCTACAATGTCGGTCAACGGTCCTCTACCAACCGTCGTCCAATGAGGGGAGTCCCCGGGCATCCTCCAAAAAAGAAAGCCCATGCTGAGACATTGTGAGAAGATTGCAGCAGTCCTATATTGCACGAACCGCCACTTCGGGCTGTGCGTACCTATGACAGGACATCCACCTTGAGGACTGCTGATGTGCAGGCTGCAAAGGCCTTCTATGTGAACGTCACCCTCAAAGGCAGTCCCGAACTCGTAGCCGTCAATTGGCTTCCAATGAAACTCTGCCTTTCAGGCGGCAGCTGCAGCATGTGGGACATGATGTTGAGAAAGCATAGGCGGCACACTGGCCTTGCCCAACGGGTAGGCAAGACCATCCCCTCGTGCTTTCACGAAAGCCTCCTTCGCCGACCAGAATCGCGAGAAGGCCTGACCCAATGACCCCGTATTGTCCGTACTTCCCTCTCAGATATTGTCAGCTCCCACCTCGTACTCTCGGTCAAGGCAGGGACCGTGCTCTTTTACATACTGCCACTCTTTCCAAGTGAGGTTGTCCTCTCGGTCAACAAAGGTGCACCGTGATTGGCACCCGTTGCCGGCACTCCTTGAAGACATCGTGGAAGTCTATCGGTTCCCCGTCTCGTCTTTTTCTGCGCAGCCTCACCGCAGGCGAATTCTGGCATGCCAACGCATATTATAGATTATAGATATCTACAGACTCGAGTCGCAGACTCTGCTACGTCAATGCCAGCGATGACGTGCGGCTCGCTGGCACACACAACCTGGGACTCAGGATTACACTGACTCTCTGCTACACGGAGTCTTCAGCTACCGTACCTCTCGTGACTGTGACTCAGATGGTGGCCCATTTGCCTTCGTGGGAACAGTTCACATTCCAATTGGGAGCCTTGCCACCAATTGACATGTCGTACTCAGCGTCACGAAGAAAGGAGACATCCATCATGCGCCTCGTCTTCGGGAGGCAGCGGCTGGGCCAAGAAGGGCTTCCTGTGCTCAGCAGACTGGCTTGCGTTGCTGGCCTCTTGCTTCATCTCAGTTGTCAGTGGTCGCTTGGTGTTGGCACGATTCCCACAGATGTTCCTGTGTCATATGAGCAAGTCATGGCTTCCATTTGCTTTGTTTCTTCCGGTTGATGCAGGTAGCACACGTTGTGCTGGTAGATCGCTGTATCAGGGTGCCCAACAAACGCCAATGCAATCCACTCGAGGTCCCTCCATGACGATCACAACAGCGCTCGCAATTTCAAACGTGCAGTTTTAGCTTCGTGGTGCAAAGCGTTGCCTTGCAATTGCGACGCGAGTCCACACAGGATGCAAGCATCTGAAACAAGTCGATTGCCAAGAAAAGAGCTTTGCCCGGAACACTTTGCGAGTCTCGCCTAATGCGGGGCGAATGCTACCACATGCTGCCACTCAGCCACACTACACCATGCGACCGCGGCATTGAAGCGATGCAGCTGATGGTTGAGTGTAAGTGTCGTAAGCTAAGCCGCCAAACTGCGGCTTGCAAGGAAAGGCACCAACCTGTGCTGAGTTCCTGACTTACCCTTGGTCCTCTTGATTTCGATGTCTTTGAAGTTTGTCATGTTCCTCACAGCAGACCGCTCACTACAAACTACACCTGCGCAGTGCGCAGAACACAAGCGCCCCATCTGCATGCGACAGAGCTTCAGAGACGATGCACTCGCCTGACCTCGCTTCCAGCCACCCGGGAACTAGTACCGAAACTGCATGGCAATTGCGACATGCGAGGTTAGCATGTTCAATCGCATCGTGAGTGTGCATTCCTCGGTCTGTCTGTCTGCATTCTTTCTGCTCAGAGTTCCATGGCTCGACTGATGATTCCCACAAGAATATCCGCCGAGGCCGGAGGCCTGGGGTATTTACCAATCCGGTGTTTTTTCGATTTGTTGGTGCATTTTGGAGGGGTTCGTTAGGGGGTCCCTCCATTTTCTTGGGCTGAGTGGCAGGTCGCCCAGGAGCCTGGGAGTGTGTTCCCCGGGCACGGCCTCCATTTCCACACCTCCCCCTTTGTGGCCATGCATCTGACTCCCCCATCATCTGCGAGGCGGCTCCCGCGCTAGAGGTTGAAGTGGCGATGTGAGTGAGTTCAAGCGAGGAGCCAGGGCAACCCGAGTGTGAATAAAACCAGCATACATGTGTGCATGCCCTCTGCCTATGGCTGCGCACATGGTTGTACCTATAAAAGGTAGTTTGATTGTGCAGTCCACGTGACTCTCGAGGTCTCCATGCTACGTATGATTTCGGACCAAATCCTGTCTCCACAGAATGCAAGGTTTCGGCCGGCGACCCCCCAAGTTCAATAGGGCCTACTCAGGCGCCACATATGAGACCCCACGCTAAGCCTTGCGTTGTATCCAGGTTCATACTGGATTCATTTTTGGAACGCCAAGGGGCACCGGAGGTCTATGCTCGGGCATTCTCCGGCTCGGCACTGATTCCGCAGGGCTTCTTTTCCATTCGCGATCTGGCGTTTACGCTTTTGAGTGTTATTCGCCTCTCGACTCCTGAACCTCGCCGGTTCGTCTCCTTTTTCGGATCCGAGTTGGTTTCCGATCGGTACACTAGCTAGCGTATCCTCCCGCCACCTCCCTCAACACCGCCGGGGAGTACGTAGCAAGCCTAGCTTTAGCTAACCGGCTTCACACAGTAGCACGGACAACACGAACTTCTCTCTTTTTAGCGTAGTGGCGAAGTCCCGCGTTAGCCCGGAGAAGAACTCTAGCCTTCGGCTAGCTAATCTCCTTGCGCAGCCGTAGGGCTACCAGGGTTCTTAGCGAACCTCGGAGCCTTGGGCTCCCCAGTTCTCTTCCTCACTCCTAGCTCTTGAAAGTAGCTAGCCGAGTGTTCGAGGAGACGGCCCAGCACACGCCACTCTAGCTTCTCCCCCTCCAGGTCTAACCTGAAGTCCGGGGAGAAACTAGCGAAGTTCTCGTTCGTGAGGTCGTCCGCTAGCTGGTTCAGATCACGACGGATCCACTGTAGCTGAAGCTCACAGTTCTTAGCGGAGAATTCCTCTGCTAGCTCCATCAGCACCAGGGTCGAGGGGAACTTCGTCGTCATAGCCTTCTTCAGTAGCGCCTCTTTTACTTGTTGGGTTCTCGCGCCGCCCTTGCAAGCAAAGACGACGTGTCAGAGGTCACAAGTCGAAACAAGAGCAAGCGTGCTGTACCACAAACGCTCAGGTTTACTCTAGAGGTGCAAGCCCAGCGGTAGCCGAAGTCCTTCGCGGGGTCTGGCACTCGAGTGAAAAGCTAACTGTGTCAACGACCGGAGGCTTGAAATGTACAAGAGCCTCCCAGGAAGCTGGCAAGAAGCCAGGAGCCAAGTCGGACAGAACTATACAGATGCAGGCATCAGGCACTTACAGACCTACCAGGAGCCAAAAGCACAAGTGCAGCTCCGTCTCAAAACAGCTTTACTCAGAAGTACAGAGACTAAGTAAAGACACGGACAGATGCCCCAAACTTGAAGACTGTACATACCGAACGTTCAGGTTTCACGACGTCGTAGAAGCTCAGGGGTCCGCGTCAGCAGCGCGCAGCGCAGCAGCCCAGCGCAGCAGCCCAGGCCACAGCAGCACGACGAGCCAGCGTAGAAGAGAGCCTCACCCACCAGAAGCGGCAGCCGCCTTGTCAAGGTCGGTCTTGCAGCCCGTTCAAGTACTCAGGCAGTACTCACCACAGGCCGGGAGCCGGAGGTGAAGTACCGCAAGCGCAAGCAGTAGCGCCTCGTTGGACTGGTAGTCCGTGTATCCACGGATAGCGACCCTTGAGGTCTTCTTAGCGTTCCCCTTCGGGACCCAGAGCTTCACTCCCACCAGTGTGGCAAGCAGTTCTAGCGCCGCGATGACCTTGTTCGGGTCACCCTTAGCGAAAGCCCAAGGGGCCCACTCCTTCTTCACCTCTAGCGAGAACCAGGGGCCGCAGCCGTCAACTGGCTCCAGAAAGCCTCCAATCCAGGCCCGTCCGTTCTCTGCCTTTGCGTCGGTGTAGAAGGATAGCGGCGCCGCTCCATCCAATAGCTGGGCAGGTCGTTGCAGACGGCCACCCGCCTCCAGACGGTCTGCTAGCCATCCACACAGGACGCGGATCATCGTGGGTAGCGTCAGGAGGCCCGGCTTCCCTTGGATAGCCGACGACCAGGCGTGTAGCGGACCCAGGAAGGGGCGTTCCCAGTCTAGCGCCATGGAAGCAAAACCCAAACGCCCTAGCCCCTGCGCGAAAGGGCGGGCTTCGCTCTACCCTTCACGCACTAGCCCCCGTAGCCACTCCACTAGCCAGTTGGTCCTTTTCTGTGAAAGACCTGGCCTCCACGTGCCAGCACAACCCGAACGAGACGAATTCGAAGGTCCCCACGAATGGGCACGACGACTACGACACTGAGTGGACATGGTGATCATTTGCTGCTGGTGGCTACTACGAGGCATCGAAGCAGCTTCGGTGACCTTGGGCCAAGCGTGGGTGGAAATCACACACGCCGGACGCACGGCGTTCATCACGTTGCCATGCACGAAGACCGACATAGTTGGACTGTGCGTGACACGATCACACCCGTGCTGCTGTACCACATCACCTCGACTTTGCCATTTCCATGCATTACAACGACATCTCGACCTTCTACGATCGCTGGGATGCCCGCAAGACGGCCCACTTTTCCCAGGAACTGACGGACATCCGCTCGACCATCATCAGGCCATCGACATTTTCCGGTCAGTCATCTCCGCGACAGGAACTTCGATGACTCGCATGGGACCCAACGGGACACTCCTTGACAGGTTTTGTGAACACGTATGTCGAGTTTCAGGATCTCAAATGCTGACACGACGAGGTTTTCCCCTCGACACAGTACAGCTCATCGGTCGATGGGGCAGCGATGCCATCAAAGTGTACGTACAGGAGTCTCCGCTACATCGAGGAGACGAATTCCACAGGCCTGAGACCCCGACTAAGCCCGAGCAAGTCCGCGAGATGGTGGCACAGTACCTCGAGACACTCCGGACTAAATTTTGGGTAGTCAACTCTTTAACTAAAGTGATCCATTTGCCAGGAGTCTCCGAATCCTCCTGTGATAACACCCATTGGCACACGATATGTGGCTGGCCATACGGTTTTGCACCACATCGCCGCGAGTATCGCGAACCCACAGGCCCAAAGTGCAAACGATGCTTTAGGCTACGCGAAGCACAAGCCTTCGCAGACGCACAGCCCGACGAAGACGAGGACTGAACCCCGACTGACTTCCGCCTCGGCGATGTGTCATCGGCATTACCTCGTTCGGCTGATCGGACAGAACGCTTCGCATAAAGTTACATGTGTGCAGCCGCCTGACATTCGATTGCACTTCACAACGAACGCGATCTAACCCAGAGCAATTTCCTGTCCAAGCCCGAATCACTGCGATTACATGACTAGTCCACTCGAGGATGCTGCGGACTTGGCGGGCATCGACCTGGCAACAGACGTGGTCGCTAGGTACCTCGCCAAACTCGGTCTCAAATCACATGCGACCGTTAGCACCTACCTCAAGGACGACGCGAGTATTACAGACGTGATCGCGAAGCTGCGGTCAGGAGCCACGGCTGGAGGCGTCGAGTTCAAACTTGCCGATGGCACCGACGAGGACGCCCTCACCGCCCAGTGGGCGGTGCTCACACAAGCAGCTCGACACGCTTATCACGCGACAACGACACACCCATCACCTTCGGCTGCCCCGACAGCACCTACGACTACCTCTTCCCCGCACACCGACAAGGACATCGTCCCCAAAACACTACCGGCGGGAGTCTACAACAAGCTCGTCGAGGACTACAATAGCATCACGGTCGATGGAGAACGACGACAATTCCCGGAGAAGAACCTCGTGGGCGCAGAAAAGGTTCTTGCGCGGATGTACAACGAACATCACACATCCAAGATGTATACCGCCACGGCCTTGGGAGAAATCGTATCACAACGAATTTGGACGAGCTTCAATACGATCAACTCGACCAGAAAGAAGGACACCAATGAAAGAAATTGGTACTCGATGAACGCAACAACATCACCGAGAAATCACACGAAGAATGGGATGTCCGGGGACAATGGATGCTCATCGACGCCATCGAGGCAATCCGATGGGCATGGATTCTCATCAAGTATTCCTCCGAGACGGTCATCAACAAGTACGTCGATTGGTTCATCCGATTGGTCCGTAAACATTCACAACGCATCAACAATGTCAAGAGCCTCTGGGAGGAGTTCTCCTGGGACATCGCCAGCGGATGCGCTCTAACGAGACCTTCCAAATGATCACCGAGGATCTCATGAACGACCTAACACGAGTCAACGACGTCATGCAACAACCGCTATCTAAGCGACCCCGAGTCGGCAAAGGCTCCGAACAATCTTACAAGGGCAAAGGGAAAGGATACCAACAGAAGTGGTCGCCCCCTGGACAAGGACGCCGATATCGACAACCCTGGACGACGACGACAACTCAGTGGCGATCCTGGCAGCCGACGACGCAACCATGGAACACACCCGCTATGTCATCGTGGCCGACTTCGCCGACACAGTCCTGGACTCCCTCGGCACCATCGAGCTTCACTACACCGACACCCGCTCCGACGCTTCCCTTCAACCCTGCTCCACAAGTCTCACAACGACCCACTTGGAACGCGAAGGGCGAGAA